AGGTTGAGCAGCGAGCTCATTGGCTGATACGGCAGGAACCAATCAGCTTTGCACTATAGATAATGATGTGATTATGAACAGGTGAGTTAAAGGACCTATTAGCCTGCGCCATCAAGAGTTACATGCCAGAACTTTATATTTATAATGTTACAAAAGATTTCTATTTCACATACATTTTTTCACATAAAAAAGAATCTTGCAAAAGAATTATCGCAATGTCCACAAAAGTATAGGCGGCACAACTTTTTTTATAACATTGATGATAAGAATGTTTCCAGAACACCAAATCAGCATATTACTCTATTCAGTTCTCGCACATGCGTCGTGGCGCTCTCGTGAACTCACGTCAGAGGCCCACACGGAAGAAAGTGAATAGTTGAATAAAGTCGTTATTTTGTATCATTCATTCATTCATTCATAACCTAGCAGCTTATGAAGGAGTGAGCCAGCTCTCAGATTTCATCAAAAATATCTTAATTTGTGTTCCGAAGATGAACGAAAGTCTTACGGGGTTGGAACAACATGAGGCTGAGTAATTACTGGCAGAACTTTTGGAAAATTAAAATATCAAAAACATTGATATTGAAAAAAATATATTTAAAAAACTGTTCACACACAGAATAAAGAAGTCAATATTGGTTGTACCCCAACATTCTTTAAAACATATTTTGTGTTCCGCTGAAGAAAGAAAGCCATACAGGTTTGAAACAACATGAGGGTGAGTAAATGATGCATATGTTTTCATTTTAACTATAGTGTCCTAAAATGCAAACCAGGAACCCAAGGGCTTTAGGACCCATGAGCTGATATCCTCACAGCTGACTGGGAAGTGACAAGGCTATTTTAACATTAACAGTCTCAAATTATACAGTCATGTTACAGTGCAAAATGTTGAGCCCAGCCTAGGAACCCACATCTTACGTAACCACAAACAGATCTACATAACTTCACCCCAGAGTTGGCTAAAGCTCAGGAGGTAGTAATCATGACAGCTCTGACTGAATTATTGATTCTTGTCACATTATAGGGTTTGTAGGCTGATGCCTGCCAAAATCTCATTCAAAAAAGCTGGTGAAAAAGCATGCCAACGACAGAGCAAAGGGCACTAGAGCTGCAGACAACCAAATGGACTTACAGATCAAAAACCACCTTGTTTGCTTGGATTTCCATCCTTGATTTATCTTGACTATAGGTTCATGTTGGAGGAATGTTGTCATTAACACTTTAGCTGCTGGGTCCCACACCCAAAAAAAGATATTTAACATATCTAAAAAGTTATAAAGAGGTTGAACAGGTGGGCGTTTCAAAATAAATGCAAGAACATACACAATCCAGAATGCCTGCATTTCTTGCCTCATTCTTGCTTGGACTTGCATTACGAGTTGGGCGGCAGCAGCTAAAGAGGTCAAAGAAGTTGAAAAGTATGATATGTGTGCAGCGGCAAATGCAATGGTGTCGACATAAAGCAAAAGTAATGTTGTAAAATCTAAACACTGAAGTGACTATGCAATGGTGTCGACATAAAGCAAAAGTAATGTTGTAAAATCTGAACAATGAAGTGACTGGCAGAGCTGACCTAACACTGATAAAGGTCTTGCCATTCATGTCTGGTCATGAAAATATCTGCATCATCAGCAATGTGAAGTGTGAACTCTAATTCCATATTAACCAACCTCTTACATTGATACAATTTGGCTTTCAACAAGAAGATGCACTTCAGAACTGTACTTCTTTTCACTTACTGTAATGCATGGCAGTCTGAATTTTAACTGCTAAATTTGATGAATATTTTTATAGTGTAACAGAGCAGATTGTGAACAGAGGCTGTATAACTCTCGTTTAGTGGAGGGTTATGAAAGAACGATGACTTAACCTGAGGCATGACTTATCCAGAGGCATTATTAATAATTTATCCATACAAGAAAGCTATAATAGGCCGATGATTCCGGCAAACACAGAACACATCTGCTGAAAGGTGCTTGTAATGTATCCAATCAGTATGTCAAAAGACAAACAATTTGTTTTGTTTTGTAATATGGTTTTATATAGGTGCTGTGCCATCAAAAAAGTCCAAACTTGAAGGAACGAGCGAGTTAATGAATCTTTTTAGTGTGATTCAAAAGATTCGAGTCACTTGGATGAATCAAAGTACCCGCTATTTAGATAGCAAATAGAATGTACCAGATGATATGAAAAGAAAAACGTTTGGTCTTTTATAAAACATATACACATTTCGAAGTAAGTTACTTAAAATACCGTGGCCTTTGATCTTACATAGTCTACAAGCAAACGAACCCTGAACCAAATAACGTGGAAAATAATGGGGAACCGAAACATCTCTCGTCTCGCTCCCTTCCCTAGAGTGTTATTTTGCTTCATGACTTCATGTAACAAAGGGTTGTATTTAGGACATCTGTAAATATAATCTCTTCTTTTGCAGAACGTCGCTCTAGCTCAGGCGAAATCGTGACTATGGCGCTGTTTCGAAACATATCCAGCTGTATGGCAAGCCGTTTTAGCTTAAATTGTACCCAGCCTTACTTGTTGTAATTTCATTTTTACTAGTAAAAATTTAATTAGAGAACTTTACAATTCAATTCGTACTAGTAGCAATTACAATTAGAGAGCTCTCTAATTCAATTCTTACTAGTAACAATTGCGATTAGAGAGCTCTCTAATTCGATTCTTACTAGTAAGAATGTAATTGCAGAGCTCTTTAATTCAATTAAAGAGCTCTGCAATTGCATTCTTACTAGTAAGAATTAAATTAGAGAGCTCTCTAAATCAGTTTTTACTAGTAAGAATTACATTAGGAGAGCTCTTTAATGCAATTATTACTAGTAAAAACTGATTTAGAGAGCTCTCTAATTCAGTTCTTACTAGTAAGAATGCAATTGCAGAGCTCTTTAATTCAATTAGAGAGCTCTACAATTCAATTCTTACTAGTAGCAATTACAATTAGAGAGCTCTCTAATTCAATTCTTACTAGTGAAAATACAATTAGAGAGCTCTCTAATTGAGTTATTACTAGTAACAATTACAATTGCAGAGCTCTCTAATTCAATTCTTACTAGTAACAATTCCAATTAGAGAGCTCTACAAATGAATTCTTACTAGTCATATGTCTCCATTGACTTCCATTCATTTTTAATTACAGAGCTCTTTAATTGAATTGTTACTAGTAAGAATTACAATTAGAGAGCTCTACAATTGAATTGTTACTAGTAAGAATTACCATTAGAGAGCTCTCTAATTCAATTGTTACTAGTAACAATTCCATTAGAGAGCTCTCTAATCCAATTATGACTAGTAACAATTACAATTAGAGAGCTCTCTAATTCAATTCTTACTAGTAACAATTTGATTGTAGAGCTCTCTAATTGAATTGTTACTAGTAACAATTACAATTAAAGAGCTCTGTAATTTAATTATAGAGCTCTCTAATTGCATTCTTACTAGTAACAATTCAATTATAGAGCTCTCTAATTCAATTCTTACTAGTAACAACTCAATTGCAGAGCTCTTTAATTCAATTAGAGAGCTCTCTATTTCAATTGTTACTAGTAAGAATGCAATTAAAGAGCTCTCTAATCCAATTATTACTAGTAAGAATTCCAATTAGAGAGCTCTCTAATCCAATTATTACTAGTAAGAATTCCAATTAGAGAGCTCTCTAATTCAGTTGTTACTAGTAAGAATGCAATTGCAGAGCTCTTTAATTCAATTACAGAGCTCTGCAATTATACATATCTTTAATTTGTTTTTTTACTAGTAAAAATTCAATTAGAGAGCTCTGTAATTGCATTCTTACTAGTAAGAATTGAATTAGAGAGCTCTCTAATTGTAATTGTTACTAGTAATAATTGGATTAGAGAGCTCGCTAATTGTAATTCTTACTAGTAATAATTGAATTAGAGAGCTCTGCAATTGCATTCTTACTAGTAAGAATTGAATTAGAGAGCTCTCTAATTGTAATTGTTACTAGTAAGAATTGAATTAGAGAGCTCTCTAATTGTAATTGTTACTAGTAAGAATTGGATTAGAGAGCTCTCTAATTGTAATTCTTACTAGTAATAATTGAATTAGAGAGCTCTCTAATTGTAATTCTTACTAGTAACAATTCAATTATAGAGCTCTCTAATTAAAAATGAATAGAAGTCAATGGAGACATATGACTAGTAAAAATTCATTTGTAGAGCTCTCTAATTGCAATTGTTACTAGTAAGAATTGAATTAGAGAGCTCTGTAATTGTAATTCTTACTAGTAATAATTGAATTAGAGAGCTCTCTAATAATAATTGTTACTAGTAAGAATTGAATTAGAGAGCTCTCTAATTGTAATTCTTACTAGTAACAATTCAATTATAGAGCTCTCTAATTGTAATTGTTACTAGTAATAATTGAATTAGAGAGCTCTCTAATTGTAATTGTTACTAGTAATAATTGAATTAGAGAGCTCTCTAATTGTAATTGTTACTAGTAATAATTGAATTGTAGAGCTCTCTAATTGAATTATTACTAGTAAAAATGTAATTACGACGAGTAAGGCTGGGTACAATTAAAGCTAAAACGGCTTGCCATACAGCTGCCTACATAGACATCATCATGGGGTTCATGGGCGCTCGCATGCATAGACTTCTCTGAAAGCGCCTAGATGATAAATCCTTTTTAAAACAGATAGCATTTTTGGTTTAGCAACGTGTGCTGCTAACCCAAATATGTTATGTGACTCTATAGTCAACAGACAATATTTTGAGAGAAATACAGGAAAGAAAAGAAGGGAAACGGGCGTTATGAAACACAAGAAATTGAATTTCAGGGTTGTTATGTTGTACTCTAAAATATCGTACTAAAACGCTCTTATATCATGCAGTTGTCGGTGGCAGACGTGCGCATCAAATGTGCTGGATTTACAGCAAACGACTACACACTAGCTAGCGCTCTTTGCTACGTAAAACGACAAAAGCTAAACATAAATCCCAGTTAAAGTGACAGTTTACCTGGTCCAGTGGTAGATCAATAATCTTACTAATTGGCTGCAGCAGTGTGGCGCCTGTGCAAGACGTAGAAGTGGCCATGATTCAGTCCAGCTCCACTCCCTTACAGTCAAATCGCCCAAAACACTGTCCGTCCTCTTTCTCTCCTTCTCTTCCTCTCTTTATGGTGGATGGGTGTTGGGAATGCTGTTTTATGGTGTTGCTCTCGCGGACTGTCAGCGCTGTTGCACTGCCTGAACATCAACACAAAAGCCCGTGTAGGCGGACTGACTCGCCCAACCCCTCCATTACATCAAACTACTGCTGCTCAATCACACACACACACACGCAGCTCAAGAACTGCCCCACACACACAGCTCAAAAGAACTTAACTGCCACTCCCTCTCATTCATCCCTCTCGTTTGCCACAGCAGTACACTCATATTCATTGAAAAAGATATATTAAATTAACATGCACATGATGTCCAGACAAATCATGAACGGGTCGCCCCCTCATGGCCGCGGCCATGTTGACATCACATGACCAGCTGTGTCATGCAATTTTTTTTAGTTTTAAAATAATAATAACTTCTCTAAAGTATACTTTACGAATCAATAATCAAGTACAAACAATCAAAAACACATATAACTAGTTACTGAATCCAAGGATACATCATGAATAAAAAAAGGTTTCTCTACTAAACACTTTAAAATAACTTAACATCAACAAACATTAAGACATTAGCAAAATTTCTTATGTATATTACTAACCGAATTAATGTCATAACATGATGTATATTTGGATCCCCTGCAATACATATAATGAGAAAATTGGATTGTATTGCATGATTAATATTGGAACAGAAATAGTAATACATGCCTGACTTCTGTGACCTTAAAAATTAGACCCAGAACCAATATGATGTCTATTATAAATACGGTTCTTATTGTGCAGTAAGAATTAAACAAGGTCGAGGACCAGACTTTTTTTCCTGAAAAATATTTTTTAGTGCATCACGCCATCGCCATATGCTGTTATGTGAATCCCAATAAACTGTTGATCCAGTCTTTGAGTTCATTGAGTCGGTCTTTACAAACAATGACCCCTCAAGTTCAAACAAGATGCTTCTGCTCAATTCATCTTCCAAAAATATTCACACATTGTGCTTTTGCTCACGTCTCTATCGCCTCAATAAACTAGTTTAGGAGCTCCTAATTACTGCTGATTAATAGTTAGTAAGTTAGTTGTTAAGTTGGGTAGAATTAAGAGATATAGGCTATATGGAAACAGCCAATAGGCTATCCTAGCAATATGCATGCTAATAAGCAAATAGTTAATAGTGAGAATTGGATCCTAAAACAAACTGTTACCATTTATTTTATTCAGAGCACAATGGTCAAATTGTTTTGTTTGTAGTTAGTACTTTTCGTATATCAGTTATTTTATGCTCAGCATCAACACTCATAAGTGGACTTGTATGTTAGAGGAGAAGCACTCGAGTGCAGTAGTCAGATAGTGCCATCTACTGGTCATGTTAGAATAAATATCCCTGTTTTATCACTTCAGTTTGTCATTTATTAATTAACTTGTTTTTAATTAACAAATTTGTTAGACAAAAACATCTTTATAAAAAATGTCAGAAAGATATTGTTTATTAAGCAGGGTCTGGCAGCAGACTTTATTTGCACCCGCGGTTTCATTCTTGCCAGCAGCATAAAGATCTACTTCTACATAATAAATAACCTATAAATAATACCCATTGCCAAATGTGTTGCTAATAACTAGTTTTCACATGCACATATAGAAGTTTGCTTTTAGTAGGCCTAGGCTAACAAACAACTGTATAGCGGTTGCTGTTTGTGAATGAAAACAAAGGCAGATCATTTTTCAAAGCATCGTTTACATATAGCCTACTGTAATTCAGGTGATTTGATTTCATACAGCTTAACGTGCAAATGGCAGATGCAACTTGTAATGTTCACTTAGCCTAGGGCTACTATTAAAATTACATGCAAATGTCAGTCTGACAGCGCATGTCCATTTTAGAGTTCCAGGATGTCCATAGCTCTAAACCACTCGACCAGTTATGTCGTATTGCATTGCTCGTTTGGCTTTTTAGCTCAGTGGACTTCATGTTAACAAACATTTAAGTAACACTGGTGGGTCAGCATATTAGTTCAAGGTTAGTACAAGTTCGGTACAAGACTTTGTCGCTTTGCTGAACACCAGCGGCAGACATATCCACCCTGAGTCCCTATAGAAAGACTCGTTATTCATTGTGTCTCAGTGTCTGGACGCACATGTTAAGCTCATACGACACACACAGCTCAGGTTTAGCTACAGTACATTAAAGAACAGGGTTGAAACTATATTTCTGCTTAATTGTTTAGGCGAGGGGTCACGAAACTCGGGTCCTGGAGGGCCGCTGTCCTGCAGAGTTTAGCTCCAACTCACCTGCTTAAAAGTTTCTAGTATGCCTAGTGAGACCTTGAGCTGGTTCAGGTGTTTAATTGGGGTTGGAGCTAAACTCTGCAGGACAGCGGCCCTCCAGGACTGAGTTTGGTGACCCCTGGTTTAGGCTAATATTTTTTTTTAAATAAAACCATCTCGCCAAAAAACCTATTTTGTTAATTTGTTTTTATACCGTAGTGCTTATAGTAGTCTTTATAAAGGCAGTGTCAATGTAGTTTTAAATGTTTAACTTAATAAAATGTGTTTCATGTGGAACCAATTAACTGGTTTCAAGTCAATATTAATTTAATATGTTTGAATCAACCTCTCATTCCAGTATGCAATAACTCAGGAACAAACAGAGAAGAATCACTCGTTCACTTTCATACACTGACTCATTGAAGTAAATTAGCTAATTTTGCAGAAAAAAAGCTTAAGGGAAGTTGATTTTTTTTGTTTTGTACAGTTTAAAAATAAAAAAGACAGTTATTTAGGATCTGTACCTGCTGAAAAGTTCCTTTTGACCCCACTAAACAAGTTATCAACATTTTTCCTATGATGCTTTGCATGAATTATTTTGAGGAAGATTCATTGAGTTGCAAACAATTAATGAAACCGTTTAAAGTCGGCATGAAATTAAGTTGTGTTGAGTCTTTTCTTTCCAATATTTCAGAGAGAAATGGCTTCTCGAACAAGAAAAAGATTAGGGCAGGACTTGATTTTGGCAATTGGGAATTGATTGGATGGTTGTGGTTTGCTATTGTTGTGATCTCATGTGAGTAACAGGTTGTCCCGCCCTTGTGCCAGTAAACACCATCAGAGAAGAGATGTCGCTGTAGAGGACAAATGTGGATAAATCATTTATAATAAATACTGCAATGTTCCATAAAAAAAAATTATTGATTTGATTTCATGGTGACTTTAAGTTGACCCATATCATGCAACAAATAAGCTAAATAAGTAAGAACAAGTAGCAGGTCTTGCATTTTATTTGACAGAATACTAACATAACTAGTTGGTCCGATCCAATAAAGATACAAAAAGTTTAACTATATACATAAAAACTAAGAAAATAGAATGGATATAGGAAAAAGATGCAGTTCAAAAACGCATTATACAAATCTGAGCTTTATAAAGTCTTTATAAATGTAAGAAGTTACTATATAGAGAAAAAAGCACTTCAGCGGAGTGAGTGCACAACTTTTAGTCAACAGCCTGTTGACGAGACACAACAATCCACTTATTTTTCCCCGTGCTTTTCATCGTGCCATTTTCTGAAGCAGTTCCTTGTAGGCACAAAGCACAAAGCTACACTGCATTTTGAACAGTACACAGGTGTCTTTACTTTGAGTCCTGAAAGTTTGCAAAAGACACAGATTCTCCTCCCAATTGTGGCATCTGACCCGTAATACTCTGGCCAGCATGTCTGTTTCGTTGAGTCGACCTTAGTTGTGTAGGGATTTGATGTGGACGGCTCTGGGTCACATGATGTGGACGGCTCTGGGTCACATGATTTGGACGGCTCTGGGTCACATGATGTGGATGTCTTGGGGGCAGCTGATGAGTTGGACAGTGTACCAATCCTTACCAGCTCAGACACAAGCGTCTCTCTAAATTCCTTCTGGGTGAGATGGCTCTTATTCTGAGATTTGGACAGTTGCTGATGGAGAATAAAACTGTTCACCACGGCGATATCGATGAAATGAAAAAAAAAGGTCTTGTACCATTTTTTGGTTTTGTGTAGGACATTGTAGTACCCAATTAGAGCATCCGAAACGTCCACACCTCCCATATATTTATTGTAGTCCTTCGTTGCTGCTGGAATTGGGATCTCCCTAATTTCCCACTCCCTCTTGGGATTCCTAACACGCCTGGTGACGGTAGCACCATCATATGCCTTGTGCATTGTTGAACACATTGAAACCGCCCTTGAGTCCATCCACCTCACAAAGAGGAGCTTACCTTTCCGAAGCCAGCGCATGGATCCCTTTTGGGCTCTGAGGCTGAGGTCATTGGTCATTGTTCTAGGAAAGCCCTGTTGGTGGGAACGTATCGTGCCACACGCAAGTGTCTTTTTATCCAGCAAGTCCAATAAAAGGCCTGGGCTTGTATAGAAGTTGTCCATAAACACCTGGTAGCCTTTGCCAAGAAGAGGAAAATCCAGGAGGCGGATCACAGAATCGTAACTCATTCCTTTACCTGTGGCCAGCTTAGATTTACCTTCATAAACAAAGAAGTTCCATGTGTAGGCACAGGCAGAATCAGCAAGAACAAAGAGTTTGTAACCCCACTTGGTAGGCTTGTCCTTCATGTACTGTTTGAAGCCGATTCTCGCTCTAGTAGCCACCATCCTCTCATCCACCGACAGCTGTCTGTTTGGATGGAAGTACGTTTTGCACGCATTGATGATGTCAGTGTAAAGGGGCTTTATTTTGAAAAGCCTGTCATGGTCAGGAGTCCCTTTTTTCAGTGCATTCGCTCGATCCTCTTTAAGATCGCAAAGATGCAGATTCCAAGTGATAGCATTAAATCTGGACCTGGACATCACCGATTTTGGAAAAGGTAAACAGTAAATGTCTTTTCTGGACCAGTAGTCTACAATATTTTTTGCACCAAGAAGCCCCATGTAAATAACAAGCGCAATAAACGAATACATTTCATGTGCTTTCAAAGGCACCCAAGGGAATTTTACACCAGCTTCAGACCTCATTTTCGCATAACTATTTGTGTTCGTCACAATGGTGTCTATCACAGAGGTTGGGAAGAAAAGCTGAAATAGTTGTAAGGGGGAATAGATTCTGTCCATGACGACCTGAGGTCCTGGGGTTCGCTTTGGATGAAAATTGGGTAGCACTGGAGCTTCATCCTCCACGCTGATGTCATTCCAAGAGCCTGTGTCACTCTCCACTGACCTGCCACGTGCAGACCTTTTTCTCACCTGTGGAGAATGAGACCTTCCTTTGGGAGTTGACCATGGACTCAAGGAAACACCAGAACAAGATGTGGGGGTTTTGGGGGTGTAAGGTGTGCTGGTGGGGGATAGAAAGAGAAGACGTTGTTTTTTGGTGGTTGGCTCACTTTCTGGTTCCCATTCTTCTTCACTTGAGAATCTGTAACAAACACAAAATGGTCAATGGTCATGCGCAATACACGTGCATCTCACGCGTGCATATGTAAATCGGATATGTGGACAATGTAATTTACATGGACATAACAGTTGCCTAAATGCAATATGCACATTTATGCACAAAATCTCGCCAAAATTCAAAGGAATACGCAAAAGATGCAACATGCACAATGCAATTTACGCAAGCAACATATGCACAAAGTGCGGGACAATTCAAATGCACGGAACAACAGATTTATAAACAAAATGCACCGAGCAGATAAAACAGTACACCGTTGATATGAAACACACAAATACGTGTATCGGGTCACAATGTGTACGTACTCCTCAAAATCAGTTTCCTCTTCTTCGTCGTTATCGGGCTCTCCCACAGGCTCCTCGTCGATACTGCAAAATTCGTTGTCCCTTACACGACCGAGCTCTTCCGAAACAGAATTACCAAAACGCAGCTTTCGGGTAGCTCTACCCTTTCTAGAAGCCATTGTGTCCACAGAAAGTGCGGCCAACGAAAGAATGTAGATAAATGCTGTTCAACGTGCTCAAACAAACACTCGACATGTGCATTTGCAGAGCCGCAGAGCGAAACGTGACCTGCAGCGCTAGTCCGGCAGCAGCTTCAGACCGGAACTCACGAATGGGCAAACCCACTTCCACCACTAACCCTAACCTCACTACAACCATAACAAAAATACACCCTGACGAATGGCGAACCCCTGTCCACCACTAACCATAACCTCACTGAGACTATAGAAAGCTGAGCGACACGATCTGACCAATCAGAATCGAGTATTCCAAATAAATAAATTAATAAAAATAAATAAATTAATAAATGTTATTAGCACTCTGTCATAAATTTTTATGATTTTTCCCCCCTCATAAGCCCATTTCCGCCACATAAGGGGAAACAAATGCTTTGGTAATTTATAAGTAGGCCTATTACACAAAAAGTACGATAAAAAAGATATAAAAAGTCAACATTATGACACAAGTCGTAATTATGAGATAAAAAGTCATGATTAATTATGACAGAATCCAATATTTTGAGGAAAAAAGGTGTCGAAATTAGCCTATAAGATAAACCATAAAATGGTACAAAATAAAAGTCAACATTTTAAGTAGTTATTACATAATTATTACATAAAAATACAAATGTAATTAAAAATATGTATATTAATTTTTCTCATACTTTTAACAGTTTTTCTCCTCATAATGTCATAGTTTTAACTTAGGCCTAGTTTTTATGTCATAATTTTAACTTTTTATCTCATATTTGTGACTTAGATGTCATCTTTTTTTTTTTTACCACATAATCATTACTTACTATCTCATTATTTCGATTTTTTATTTCATAACTTTGATTTTTTTTTTCTTTAGTGCGGAAATTTCATATTAACTATAAAGAGTACGTCTGTTTTTTATTGTATTTCTATAATTATTTTGTATATAACCTATTTGTGTCATTGTACAGCATGGGTCAACTGTTGTTTTTAATTGTGTTTTATGAATAAATAGTAGACATTGCAACTGTAAATATGGAACAGATTAAAGTACATCACATAGCCTACTCCTGATGTAGCCCATGACTGTAATACATTGCAGCCTCTGCAGATGTTATAAATTCATAAAGTAAACCTCCTCAATAAGAAACCATTTATTCTAAGAGACACCAGCAGAGGTCATGAATCAACCCTGCATGCTTTCACTCTTCATTATGAGCTCTGAGTGGAGAGCATATTAACATTCAGAAGAGAGCCTGCTGTGCAAAATGGGAATCAGAGATAAAACTTGCTCATCATATGAATTATTTTACAATATTCATATATTAACAGGAGTTATTTTGATTGGTCTCGATGTCATTGGGGTCATCAGGGGCCACCAATGTGTGCAAATATCCACAATACATAAACCAAAAGCACAGTAATATTGTCTGTCACATTTTAAACAATTAAACCGTATGAGGCATAAAATTATGAATAGTGTTTCCTCTTTTTAGCCTGAAGTGACTGTTGTCTTTTGTGAGGATGCAAATGCACATATCTTGCTAAAGGGTTGTTGCGTTTACAAATAGGAATATAGATCACGTTTGTAAATAGTCTTTATTTCACGCTGCGCTTGTTTGTACAACTTTATGGAAGGTATAATTGTCTGAAAATACATCATCACATAGATTTTTAAAGAGCTATAATCACTGTTAAAGGACTCTTTAATAATGCATTTAAGACAGAATGTCAGCACAGGAAAAATATAGCACATTTCTGCAGAAAATGAAACCAAAGCACTGTTCTGCGAATGTTGCTTAATTTTTAATGTTCTGATCAGTTAAAAATCTCTTCAGGTTGATTTGGAGTTTATTAAACGTGTGTTACTGACAAACAATTTTGTGAATTATTTATGTTGAAATAACCTGATAATAAACTCTGATTAATTGTTCTCCTTGTATATATATATATATATATATATATATATATATATATATATATATATATATACCCTATATAGCCTTTATATATATATATATATATATATATATATATATATATATATATATATATATATATATATATTTTTTTTTTTTTTTTAATGTATACTGGACCTTAAAAATATAAAATACCAGCTCAATATCTCGAGCACTGGAGAACAAAAACTACTTTATCTGATAATCAATTAATTCAACTGCTCATAAAGACTGGCTCATTACAGGCAGAATTATCATTTTAATTAGTCTTTTGTTTCAGAGGCAGGGGAGGGTGAAGCTTATGGAAGAGGTATGGCAACTAATAATTATAATAATGGCACTAAAAGTACTCTTGTTATTATACAAGCTAATGAATTTATATCCAGGAAGGAGGATAGGGGTTCTTTCTTGAAGCACAAAAGATAAATCTAAAATATTTTGAAATTATTATAGCCCTATAATAAGCATAAATTCTCATATTATTCACAAACGCACTCTATTATTGGGCAACCTCAAAAGTAAAGATTATTAGTCAGTAAGAACTTCAGTTTCAGTCTATTCCTCATGACTTTTGAACTACTCATATGGACTATTTTTATGAATCGTTTTGTCCTTGTTGGAGTTTGGGATTTAAAATCAAAGGTATATGGGAAGCTGCCTAAAACATTTTTTAACAAAAACATTTAAATTAATAATTCATAAAAAAATGAAAAACATACAATAATTCCGTGGTGAGCATGAGTAGCCTAGATAAAGTCAATAAGAATTTTATTGTTGGGCGAACTAACAGCTTTAAAAATCTGTATTAGGCCTACATTGTGATAGCATGCACTTTTTAATTATAAATTCGTCTTTTTTACACTTGAACAAAAAAGTTTCTTAGGCTTCAGAGAGAGAATAAAGGTCAATATCTGTTATTTATACGCTTAAAAATGTCCTTTTCCACCTTAAGAGAGGCGCTCACGATCCTAAAGGCGATCTACAAGCAGGCCACGCCCTGCGTCAGTTACGATTGGCTTAAAGCTGGTAGCTCTGGTTCCTCATTGGTCACTCCTTTCCCATTGAATCTCCTCCACCTTTACTTTGTCAATTTCTGCGCTTTCATTGAATTGCGTTGCAAGAGCTGCATCGACCCAAAGCCTGCAGCAATCCCAGCACGACAACGTACACTACAGTCCCTTAACAGATGAGGACTACATCACCAGACTGGTTTATTATCAAACGGGGGAACCAAATGCGCACTTTCTTTCACTGGTGGAAGAAGTGAGAACCAACACCGTGGGAGAGAGGTTTCCCGTCGTAGAAGCGTCACTTCTCTGTAGTTGGCTAATGATTTTTATTAATTCCCAACTTGTCTTTAATCCACTGAGGACAAAACACAGCGATGATAAGACTTCAGGACGCTCATGAGAGTTTTATTTCGTCATTGTATCTCTGAATTTCGACATTAAGTGCACCACAACCGGTCATTAAAAGGATTTAAACCGACATTTGTGGTTTTTGCGAAAGGAAATACAATGCCGGACCAGATCACAGTGGCGGAGTTTGTGGCGGAGACCAATGAAGATTATAAATCGCCCACCGCCTCAAACTTCACCACTAGAATGACTCACTGCAGGAATACTGTAGCCGCACTGGAGGAGGTGAGACTCATAACTTTAATTAACCTGATATTTTGCGAATGTTAAAACCTTGCTGAGTGTTTTGCTTACTTGCAAGACCACTAGAGTCAGCTATTGCCCCCCCTTGGAGTAACTAAATGAGTTACTGAGGAGGCAAATCCTTTGTTGATGCCTCACCCATCAGACAACTGCTGTATTGCATTGTCTCATGCTGATGATGTGATCTAATAAACAGTTAGTTTATTCACTGCATATTTAGATAAATGCACAGGCTGAAATACATACATTGATTGGGTTAGAAGAATTTATATGGAAGAAAAATAATAGTTGATCAGCACCTGTTACAATTAACATTGGCCCGGTTTCACAGACAGGGCTTAGATTAAGCCAGGATTAGGCCTTAGTTTAATGAGGGCATTTAAATAGCTTTTATAAATGTGCCTTAGAAAAAAACTTTACTGGTGTGCATCTTGAGACAAAACAATGGCCCTGACATATTTTAAGATATGTCAATCCAAGTTGCTTTCAGTTAAAACAGCTCAAACATGCATTTTAGTCTGGGACCAGGCTCCAGCAACTCACTATCTTGTCCGTCAAAGCTGGTTTTTAGTTGGTCTAACAGCTGGTGCAAGCTGGGCATCTGGTTGACCAGCTACAATGTTTCAAAAGCCCACCGTGACATCCTTAAAGATGGTCCAAGTTAGGACATGATAATGACCAGCTTCAAAAAAGATAATAAACCAGACTACAGTTTAATCTGCTTTACAATGTTCTCACAGCCTGGTCAAGATCCAAGTCTAGCTGGTCTCTGAAACTGGCGAAGCAGGTGTTCAGGTAGTTTAGTTTGCTAGTCTGCCAGCCTGAACCCCTAAATCCAGCCATTAGTTAAGACGAACATATTAGACCAGGGTCCAAAACGGGAATATGAACGTGGACCGGTGCATCTAAACTGTGTCTATAATATATTGTATAAAAACATCTCATAAGTGAGTGAAGCCTCGCCCTGGCCAGATATAAATAGCCTTTCTCAACTCTGATGGGCTCTGCTGCTTTTGTGTTGTGTTGAATGGAGACAGCTTCCTGTGGGATATCCATCATCACAGCTCCAGATTATAACCATTATAGATGCTGCAGGCTGTATTTATAAACTTGTTATTAAGTATACAGATAACAATAATGTAGTTTGTCAAGATGTTATGCTATCTTAGAAAGGGTCAAAGCAGTAGGCCTATCTATATGACTGTCACTGATAATAGCAAGGTGAGTTTAATCAATGCCAGTTTTTTGCTAATGTATTTCACTGGTTATAACTTAAATCCGCTTTTTTTTTTAAATGACATTGGGTTAAATGATTCATGTTGTTTTAAGGTAATTCTACAAATGGGTAACTGCTTTCTACCCTGTGACCGAGTGTTCCTATGAAAAACTCAGGAAGTCTGGAGCTAAATGATTGTATTTTTTTGTCTTCCTCTTATTGCATGCTGTTTGTTCGCTCTTTGGCTTTGTGGTCATTGCTTCAGGGACATAAATAGTGCTGCCCACATATTTGTAGTTTTATGGAATCACTGTAAGTTGTGTGTTTTTTGTGTGTTTCGTCTCACACTGACCGCTCGCCAACAATAAGAGTCCAAATCAGCATTTGTTGGAGAAGGATTTCTCGATGCCCTTCCATGTTTTAATTAGAAGCTTTTTGATTGGTCTGTATCTGTATTCACAGAAAATATGTTTATGATGCTTCTCTGTATTGTCTCATGACTTTGAAACTGCTTCCCTCATGGGTCTCATTGTTTCAGCCACTTTAATATAAGGGCCTAATTTAACTTGCAGCTTTTGCCTGATAATAAACAGGACTCTAGAAGGAATTATAATTTCTTTTTAAAGCAATTACACTGGAAAACAAGTTATTTTGAGGCCTGCAGTTGGGAAAGCTTCAGCCACTAGGGAAATGAAGTGCATGACAGTAAAATTATGAAATTGAAATGGGGTAGCCTTCACTTGATAGGCTGGTCATAACCAAGCATTTACTTAACCAATAACCATCAGACTTGTAATGTTACTACACTGAGAATAACTGTATTTAGTACTATATTTATGTATTATATAGAGTACTTCATCTACAAACAAGGTTTGTGCCGTTCCAGCTTTATTGATTGCATCTTTTTAGTGTCAAGTCACCACCTCATGAGTAAAATGTGTTTTTTAGACGGTAAATCAGATCTTGGACTGAAACATATTGGTGTTTTTAATTTAATAACCTCTCTCTTTTATGGCGTGGGAGAGTGGGGTTGGTTTATGGTCGGATGTGTCCTTGTCTTGTTGCGAGGTCAGCTGAGGGCAACAGGTTCAGAATCAATAAGCACCAGTGCTTAATAAATATCTGAATCTTCTCTCACATTTATCTGAATGTTGATTTTCTGACATGACTGTGCTTTCAGGCATGGATATAACTAGACTTTCTTTTAAATAAGTTTAACCCACTTTAGCCCACTTTTGTAGGCCAAAGTAAGCTGGATAGCCTAGTTCAAACTGAGAATGATCTGACTCTCTAGTTTAGATATTGGCAGGAGTTTCATCTCCTTGGTTGCACTTTATCTTTAGAAAGTGTTTCAAACGCATTCAAGGCTTCAGTGCTGCCCACCCTTGTGTGGTTTGAGTGCATCTTTGTAACTTCCACACAGAGTTCACATTCACAGTGTGTCAGTGATGTGTGTGATCCCGCTGAATGACTCTGCTTGGGGATTACAGGGAATCACTGGTATTCCTGGTATCCTTAAGAAATGTTGGCATTGACCTTGTTGTCTGCTGAACCTTCGGCTGTTAAAGCCAGTGGTGCGTTGCTGTCCAGAAGTCATAGCCTAATCAACCAAATAAGCACTCTCTGAACTACAGTTTCTTTTGATATTCCGGTTTGTCCTTAGGAAAGTCAGGTCTCTGTAATGTTCTGCTGCCTAGAAACAGCTTGGGTCTCTTTCACAGTGTTAATTGATGGTTTTTTTTCCATTTGTTTTATCATCCACCTGTCTAATTTTTGATGTAGAACACATCAAAAATAGGCTCTATGCAAAATATTATTTAAATTATTTGTCATTAGATATTTGTTGTTCGGTAGTCAGCTGGAAGCTACCCTGGCATGTTCAAACATTGTAATCGGAATAAAGAATAAATGACTGTTAATGTGTCTTCAGGCCGATGCAAACATTCACATACTGTCAATGCAACAGATTTTTGTAGGAGAGGTGTTCTAATCAACACACTTTTGATAATTTGCACAGAGCTGACAGACATATTCCTTGTAAAAAATTGGACTGAATTTTTGCGCCTAACATTTGGGTTGGTTTACAACCTTTTTGGTGTAAACAAACTCGGTTCCTCAGTGGTTTTCTGACAGGCAATGCTGGTCTATTGCTGGAAAAAGCTATTGTTGTTGCAGGAATACCAGCTTTACCAGTATAGCCATGCTGGGTTACTATAGTATTCAAAGCATGTCTCATAATGATAACCAACTCAGGTCATTTAAAGTGCGTATGTCAGGTTAAATTTGTAATTAGGATTAACACAAAATAGTTAGGGGAAATGCACATTTGACAAGTTGTTGTATTGTTTTGTATGATTTTCGATACCTAAAGGCAGAATATAAGATGAAAAAGTTCGTTATTTTCAGTACTCACTTAAAACTGCTCCTCCGCCCAAACGGATCGCTTGACGTCATAAGAGGGAGACGTCTCCCCAGAGCGCTGAGAAAGTGAGTCTGTGAGCTGTGTTGATAATTGTACGAGTGATAGAGCGAGAGAATTAGTGATTAGGATATTTATTTATTTAGTTAGCTATTTAAGTTAGGTAGTTAGTTAGGTATACGCAGGCGTATTTTCACAATGGTGAATTACTGCGTTTGTGCTGGGTGCTAAAACACAGTTAAAACCGGTCACAGAGTCCACTTTTCCCCAAAAAAGCAGGTCTGTGTTCCGTGCCTGGGTCAACTTTGTTCGTACCAAACGCGTGGACTTCAGTGCTGCTTCGGTATCCAAGATTTCGGTCATTTGCAGCGCACATTTCTTCCAGTTTTTATGTTTCCACTGTTCGATCGCGCCCGCGTGTCTGTCTCTCTCTCTCTCTCGCGTCTCTCTCTCTCGCGTCTCTCTCTCTCTCTCTCTCTCGCTACTTCAGTGCTGCTTCACACACACACACACACACCAACACCAACATATTCCAGCATTGCAATCTTGACATCGAAGCCTGTTCATTATAGCCACGGAGCTTCAGAGCTAAGGCGGAGCTACAGATTATGTGTCCCTAAATAACCCGCGTATCTAACAGTAGTTCCGCATTAATTAATTTGCACGCGAGTTTTATTTATTTTTATACTCGTGTATTCTTATTTATTTTTATACTCGTGTATTCATGCACTGAACCGTGACGCCCGTACCGTTTCGGTTCAATACGAATACATGGTTCCACCTCTAAGTTATGCCTACCGGTATATACACCTGCCCAACTCTCCACTGGTTATCTTCACACCAGATATTTATGTTTCTTCGATAGGAATTATTTAAATTTCTGTTTGCCTCCTCATCTGTCTCACGCCTGGGAGGCTCAAAAGTGTATGGCTGTGGGGGGATTTTGAGGGGGATTTTGGATCTGCTCACAGTGCTCAGAGTCAAAACTCCCCATTCTTGAATAGAACGTTTGTGGCACGACTCCCTCTTCTGACGTCACAGCTCAGCTGTGTTTTAAAAATATGATCTTGACAGAAATGGCTATAAAGCTTACTGTAGGGTAATTACAGTAATAATTTTAATGATAATTACATTTTCACTCAGACATCTAACCCTTATTTAATATATCTAAAAAAAAAATTTAACCTGACATAGACACTTTAAGATGGTCACCAGCTGAACCAGATTAGTTAGTCTACTTGGATTGCTTCTTGATCACTAGTGTCACAGGGCTTGACAGTTACGTTTTTCCAGTTTTCCAAAAACCGCAATGAAAATATCTTAAGAAATCATGTGCTTTTTCTTAAT